ACGCCGCTTCGCTGGTTCTGACAGCACGCAATAACCCATAGACACTCCGCGCGTTGAGGACGCCGCTTCGCTGGTTCTGACGGCACGCAATAGCCCGTAGACGCTCCGCGCGTTGAGGACGCCGCTTCGCTGGTTCTGACGGCACGCAACAGCCCGTAGACGCTCCGCGCTTTGAGGACGCCGCTTCGCTGGTTCTGACAGCACGCAATAGCCGTAGACGCTCCGCGCTTTGAGGACGCCGCTTCGCTGGTTCTGACAGCATGCAACAGCCCGTAGACGCTCCGCGCTTTGAGGACGCCGCTGCGCTGGTTCTGACAGCACGCAATAGCCCGTAGACGCTCCGCGCGTTGAGGACGCCGCTTCGCTGGTTCTGACAGCATGCAATAGCCCGTAGACGCTCCGCGCTTTGGGGACGCCGCTTCGCTGGTTCTGACAGCACGCAATAGCCATAGACGCTCCGCGCTTTGAGGACGCCGCTTCGCTGGTTCTGACAGCACGCAATAGCCATAGACGCTCCGCGCTTTGGGGACGCCGCTTCGCTGGTTCTGACAGCACGCAATAGCCATAGACGCTCCGCGCTTTGAGGACGCCGCTTCGCTGGTTCTGACAGCACGCAAAAGCCCGTAGACGCTCCGCGCTTTGACGGCTTTGACGCTTGTTCATACACAAACAATGAATGAAAAAAGTTTTGATAAGCAGAATCAATTAGATCGTCAGAAATAATGGTCCACAGAGGTTACTCGCCCTTTCTTGAAAATGTCAAAATAAGGAATGACATCCTGCGCACGTGTGTCGCGCTACTGCGTGAGGCACGTGCAAACTATAGGAAGAGTGAGTAGGTGATGTGGATTTTACGCCGCTTTTAGCAATATTCCAGCAACATCACGGCGGGGGTCACCAGAAATGGGCTTCACACATTGTACCCATATGAGGAATAGAACCCGCACCTTCAGTATGACTTGCGAACGCTTTTACCACTAGGCTACCCCACCACCCAACTATAGAAAGAGCTTACAGACATAAACGTTCTTGTGTAGGATTTTTGTCGTCAACAATCATACTTGTTCTTTTACTTGGTATTAACATTTATATTTCATGATCCCCTACTTTTTTTTGGAGTATATGTTTCAATCTCTTTTGTCCTAGCTGGCTTTTACTTCGTGGGGGCCACTGACCTTCGACTTGGGGGCAAATGGGCCTGGGAGGGTGAGGCCACAGAGATCGCCTACAGCGACTGGGCGTCAGGTCAACCAAACAGCGCCAGTGAACACTGCATGGACCTGATGAAACGCTTTCACTACCAAATGAACGACGCACCGTGTGGTGCCAATATTAATTTCATTTGTGAACAGACTGCCAAGTGTTAATATCTGCTTTGTATGGAATACTTGTTGGGGCATTGCTTCGTTGTTGCGCATTTTAACGCAACGTAGATAGAGCGATTGTGCGGAAACGCAACATATTTTGTCTTATAATGTATATCGCGTTAACGCATCGTCGTCCGTTGGTATAAAATCAAAAATATTTTCAAAGCACGTCAATACGACAAACGGTCAAAATGTCGCGGTGTCGTGCATTGGTTCATTTGACACTTTTTGATTGTTTATGTAACGGCGCCAATGCGACAATGTCCCTTTAAGGATTCCATAGTTTTGCATGTTCTGAACAATAAACGCGGTGTCAACAAACTGTTGTGGAGTTGCTTGTTTAACAGATCTATTGTGCCCAAACGTCTCCAGCATTTTATATAGTCATACGAAGGATTCTTAGCATAATATACATGAGTTTTAAAGTTTGAATGACTTAATGGGAAACAAATACAGTTTATGGTTTTTTTTCTCTAAATATTCGTCCGATCTAATAAAGTTTTGACTATGTTCCAACTCCTTGTTTACAATAGATATTATTCACAACTTAACGCCTGTAACAAGTTATTAACATATTTTCTAATTATGTCGCTCAGAAATCATATAATTATGTTCATACCTCTATTCAATAAAGCATTGAATAATGATTCTTTAGTGACGCTGAAAACTGTAACGTTTTTTTTTGTTATATCAGCACAACGTCTCTCCTCCTCATAAAGTACTGTTTGTGTATTGGAACAGCAAGCAATTACTTTTCACTACGATTGCAACAAAGGACACGAATTGGCCATGACAACTAATTAACCTCCCAAGTGTCGGACATCCCATTGGTCAGACATCCCATTGGTCGGACATCCCATTGGTCAGACATCCCATTGGTCAGACATCCCACTGGTCAGACATCCCATTTGCCAGACATCCCATTTGTCAGACATCCCATTGGTCAGACATCCCATTGGTCAAACATCCCAGTGGTCAGACATCCCATTGGTCAGACATCCCATTGGTCAGACATCCCATTTGTCAGACATCCCAATGGTCAGACATCCCATTGGTCAGACATCCCATTGGTCAAACATCCCATTGGTCAGACATCCCATTGGTCAGACATCCCATTGGTCAGACATCCCATTTGTCAGATATCCCACTGGTCAGACATCCCATTTGCCAGACATCCCATTTGTCAGACATCCCATTGGTCAGACATCCCATTGGTCAAACATCCCAGTGGTCAGACATCCCATTGGTCAGACATCCCATTGGTCAGACATCCCATTTGTCAGACATCCCATTGGTCAGACATCCCATTGGTCAGACATCCCAGTGGTCAGACATCCCAATGGTCAGACATCCCAGTGGTCAGACATCCCATTGGTCAGACATCCCAGTGGTCAGACATCCCATTGGTCAGACATCCCATTGGTCAGACATCCCATTGGTCAGACATCCCATTGGTCAGACATCCCATTTGTCAGACATCCCATCGGTCAGACATCCCAGTGGTCAGACATCCCATTGTTCAGACATCCCATTGGTCAGACATCCCAGTGGTCAGACATCCCATTGGTCAGACATCCCATTGGTCAGACATCCCATTGGTCAGACATCCCAGTGGTCAGACATCCTATTGGTCAGACATCCCATTGGTCAGACATCCCATTGGTCAGACATCCCATTGGTCAGACATCCCATTGGTCAGACATCCCAGTGGTCGGAATCCTAGTGGTCAGACATCCCATTGGTCAGACATCCCAGTGGTCAGACATCCCATTGGTCAGACATCCCATTGGTCAAACATCCCAGTGGTCAGACATCCCAGTGGTCGGAATCCTAGTGGTCAGACATCCCATTTGTCAGACATCCCATTGGTCAGACATCCCATTGGTCAGACATCCCAGTGGTCAGACATCCCACTGGTCGGAATCCTAGTGGTCAGACATCCCATTGGTCAGACATCCCAGTGGTCAGACATCCCATTGGTCAGACATCCCAGTGGTCAGACATCCTAGTGGTCGGAATCCTAGTGGTCAGACAGCTTATACTAGGATTAGTCAAGGTTGGTTAGTCGTGTAAAAGTTACACCTTTCATTAAAATGGAATAGACCAGAACACACATTTTGAGGAATTTACATGTTAGGTTTATTATGTACTTTTAATGTTCAAATCATTCCAGAAATCACATATTCACCAGAAATCACATATTTTGAATTATTTACAGGATATATTTATTCAACTTTAATGAGGAACATATTTCAGTGAGCACGAGCATAGATCCAGACAATTGGGATTGATGACATGCGTCAACCAAGTCAGCGAGCCTGACCACGCGATCCCGTTAGTCGCATCTTACAACAAGCATAGTCGCCTTTTAGGGCAAGCATTCTACCCCGGATCTGTAGCATACCTACCTATTGACGCAAGTGCGTATACTTCCATAAACGCACATATGAAACCCAGATGGTTAGAAATAGTAATTTGCACGTGGTACCTTCAGAATCAGGAATGAGAATATGGCACTTCTGAGTTTAGATACATGTGTAATATAAAGATAGATAACGAACATATCATGAACGCAAAACTAGTACCGTATTCGACATAATAAGCGCCGAGGGCGCTCTCAAATTTAGAAATAGGGGGCTCTTATTAGAATATTATTTTGGTAAAAAACAACAAAGTTGAAAGATCGTAAATTTCGTGGTTTATGCTGACAGCCTGAAATGTTTATATACGACAGATATATTTTTTCCAGAATTTAATTTGCCATAATTAAGAATGTATATAACATACGTATTATACACGAATGGATAAGTCCTGTGTACATTGATCAATCGGATGGGGTGCTAATTGGGATTGTTCACTAGCTAATATATTAGAAAATATCGCCGTGGGCGCTTATTAGAGCGGGGCGTTTATTACGTCGAATACGGTAATATGTTTTCACCACATTTGCGTTTGGAACAAGAGGTATTAAGTTGACACGATCATAGTGGTGTACATGAAAATATTTTAACATTTTAACTGAATGGAATGCTATAAAAACTCTTCTGCTGGCTTATTACTTCTTATTATTATTGTCTTGAAATGACAAAGTTATTCATATGTTTTCATAATTAATCTTTTCACATATTGTTAAAATTGAAGTAGCTTCTATATACCCAGAATCATACTTCTCTATGAGTTACCTCCCTAATACTTAGGGTACTACTGTATGTTTACTCCTGTAGCCTGACACGTCAATTTTTCACCCTGTACAAAAGTGTTCATACCTCGCTAAACGGAAACTGGGTCATGACAGTGCTTGCCTCCCTTCGAACATTGAGCCCGACTAACACAGACATTTTCAGTGGAATTATTTTAGTTAGGAATGTTTTAAAATATAAATGAATGTCATGATAGAACAATGTTTTATCGTACAATATAAAATAGCTACGCGATAAATCGCAAAGTACAATGTCAGAAGAACGAAAAGGTACAGGTAATCGACTTGAGGATTGTGAGAATATGCGGGAAATACCCACCTGTGCATAAAATGGACTTGTCCGACGTTGCCGAGGTCGGACTCTATTGAGGGAGTTATCATTATTTAAAAAGGGGTTAATATTTTCAAAGCTTGAACATTTTATCAACATCCTCAAAGAGGCTGTTCATATTGTTGATATCTCATTTAAGAAATAAACAACTCGTGGTCGTTGTTTATCGTACAATAAAACACCGCAGGGAGAATAAACCACTCGGTTTTATTTTCCTTCAGTGTTTTATTGTACCATAAACAACTCACACTCGTCGTTATTTCTTTAATAAACCATACTGCGTTCTTCGTTGTTCTTTGCAGTTTACTGCGTAGCTACCTTATAGGGTACGAATTCGAAAGACATATGGTGTAACTTTGGTAGCATAAATTTAAAAAATTTGATTTCGATTATATTCTCGATATATGGGATGGTGAAAGTAATAAAAATAACGAGAAAAGATTTGAAATATTCAAAAATAATTAAATAACTGAAATTACCAGAAATTAATAGAAAATGGGAGAAAAACACCGAAATTTCGATATAAACTGAGGAGTAAAGAAATTATACCTCTCAGTTAATTTTATCAGAAGTTTCATTTTCAACAGTGGGTTCGAATACTCAACCCAAACAGTACTAGAATTTGTACTTTACCAAGAAAATGTTATCCCAAAACCCAGCATTTGTCACAAGTTAATGCCTACAAGAGAAGTGCTAACGAAGTGTTCTTTTAATCTCTTTCAAAACGAATCTATTACTAAAAGAGGCGGACGTAAAATAACTGTTTGAAGTCTATAAAAAAGAAACCACTGACAACGTAACTGAACCGGGAATGTTGAAGCCATTCCGTGTTTAGTCCAAGGAATAAAAAAGAGTGGGTGAGTGAGTGAGTGAGTGAGTGAGTGAGTGTGGTTTTATGCCGATTTTGGCAATATTCCAGCAATATCACGGCGGGGGACACCAGAAACGAGCTTCACATATTGTACCAAAGTGGGGAATCGAACCCGGGTCTTCGACGTGACGAGCGAACGCTTTAACCACTAGGCTACATCGTAAATGTCGCCATTTTTTACACATTGCTAAATCGCCACTCACGGCGTTATTTACAGCATGTTTTGAAATCTAAATATCGGATATTTACTCGGAAAAATGAATTTCAAAAATAGCATATTAGTGATCACGGGTATCTGTCTTTTATGAAATCACCAATGATCATTCCAAAACGTCTCCGATAACCCTAGAATCATTTAGAATGTTTTGGAAAATACGCAAACACGAACGCCGAAGTGAACTTTCCGCCATATTGGATAGTGTTTACAAAATCACGTTTCAGTTACACCAGTTATGAGACGCCAGTAACATCACGTATATTTCAAACTTATCTGCGATACCTACATCCTTGAATTCCTCATACATTTTAGAATCAAATGACCAGTAATCTTTGTCACCAATACAAAGTGACTAGATGAAATCAAGAAAAATAAGTTAAGTGTGAAAGCAAAAGTGGTGGAGAATATTACATTTCCTATTTGATGGTGTAAATTTAACTGCAAATATTAAACCGGTTTAAAAAAAAGACGCTTCTAAGTGTTGTCCCAGAATTTATTTTGCGTTGAAAAACAGTAAATTTCGCCGCTTTTTATCGTACACCGATAAAAGTACAGTGCGACGATTTTTTTTTATTTAGAAAAATACTGCCTAATATCTGAACGACATAACTTTATATCAAATGGAGTTATATGCGTATGTATAACGACATTCATTCAATGCCAAAAATAGCATGCCGTAAATGACGAAAACTGATTTTTCTCT